GAGAGAGAGAGAGAGAGAGAGAGAGAGAGAGAGAGAGAGAGAGAGAGAAACACTGAACTCATGGTTTCCACACTGAGCTACATCCCCAGCCCTGTTTTGTTTTTTATTTGAGATTGAGTTTTGCTAAGTCATTCCATGATGGGGCTGGACTCTAACTTGCCAAGCTGCCTTGGCCTTCCAGAATTCTGGGGGTCACAGGTATGCACCACCACACCTGACCTTGTGGGTTTGCCCCAGGTCAAGGTGTCGCCACCTCCGCTGGATCAGCACCTGGAGACTGGTATCTCTTTAGTGAAGGGCGGTCCTGTGCTGGGGCCTCTACCCGCTAACACAAGCACTGCCCACACCCACCCTGGGCTGTGACAACCACAAATGCCTCCCTCGAGACACTGCCAAGTGTCTTGTGGGGCCAAGGCACCCCAGGCTAGAACCTCTGTCTGGGGCCGTGTGCCAGCCCTATTAGTCACCACCCCGGGGCAGGTACTCCCTCTCCTGGCCCTGTTGCTCTGGAATGCATTGTCTGTGCTGAAGAATGCAGACTCTGCCCTGAAAGACCAGGGAGACACAGCTGCTGCCCTTGATCAGCCAACTCAAGCTCGGGGCGCCAGATAAGCCCTCTGCTGGGACAGTGGGATTTGCCCCCTGTGGTGACTCTGCAGAGCAAGAATTACCAGAAAGTGAGGTACAGAACAGCCAAGGCTTTTCCCATTCCCTGGAGGGGACAGGACAGGACAGGACAGGGACGCCCCTTTGCTGCACCCCTGGCTGCCCCACATGCCCAAGGCCTGAGCCATCTAGAACGTTCCCAGGGCCGTCCCAGACACAACTCCATGTGTGTGAGCCACACCATGGTGGCGAGTCTGGGCACACACAGCTGTGTGTGGGTGTGATATGTGCAACCCACACAAGGCCAGCAGCCTGTTGTGGCGGGTCGGAGCAGCAGCCGGCCCACTGCAGCCTTTCCCAAGGCCCGTAACCACAAAAGACCCTGCTGCGGGCAGTAAGTGGATTCCCTGTGAGTCTCTGCTGTGTCTCGAGCCTGTGGGCCTGTACAGACCCACGAATGTGTGAGCTGCCGGGGACACCGCTCTCCCTGGGTGACCCAGTCCATTCTAGCACGAGTCCATCTGGAACCATACCCCTCGAAGGACCAAGAGCCACGAGGCAAATGTCAGTGAGCAGCCCAGGGGCTCAGAAGCCTAGCATTGCCCTCTAGGAGGGGACATGGAGCCCCACAGCTCTCTCTCTGGGTCTTTCCAACTGGTGTGCAGCTCTACATGCTCCTTTGAGCTTTGGGAGCCCTGTGCTTGTGTAGACAGAACCCGTTTATTACAGCTGGTACAGTCGTCCCCCAGGGGAAAAGCCCAGCAAGGCAGAATTCCCTGTTCTTGAAAAGCAGGCCACACCCCTGAACAGCTGCCCCCCTCCCCCAAGATGACCCTGAGAAGCCAAATCCAAGTGCAATGGTGTGAAGTTTCCGGCTCCTTTGCCAGATGAGAGCACAGGTGTTGTCCTGCAGCTGGGATGGTCCGTGAACCTGTAGGGACTTCTGTGGCTGCCAGCATGCACCGTGGGGGAGCCTGCATGGGTCGTGGGGGAGCCCTGTACATGGGGCTTTCCTGCAGGGCAGCTCCCACAGGTGCTCAGGTGGACCAAGGGATGCGCCTCACCTGAGTGGGGTGGTAAGGGCAGCACTGGAGGCTGACCCTTCTCTGAGCTCCTGTCCATGTGCTCTGTGTGCTGGCCACAGCCCCACGCACAGTGGCTGCGGGCAGGTGCCAGCCAGCCTCAGGGGCTCTTCCAGACTCCTAGTGAGGATGCAGGGCACATCCCGGATTGTGTGGACCAGGAAGCACCTCACATGGCCCGGAGAGGGTCAGATGGCCTCCTGTGTCCACAGTTCTGTGGCTTCAGTTAGTCTGAAAATACTAACTGGAAAATTCCACAAATTATTCATATATTTTCAATAATATCGTATGTTCTATTTTAGTATTAGCTATCACTGATTTCTCACTGTATCTAATTTATAAACTGAAACAGGCACATACATATAGGAAAGATTGTGTGTGAAGCTCCAGACGCCCACTGGAGGCCTCAGGCCAGGCCACACACAAGGTGGGTCGGGGGGCCACTGTGGCTGCCTGGCCCATCTTAATTGAGAGCTTTGTGCCGGAAGTGTTACCCTCGGAAGGGTCCTGCAGCAGAAAGGGAGGCGAGAGCCAAAGCCTCAGCCCCTCGGCCCACATGGCTCTAGGGGCTGCCACGCCTGGCCCCGGAAGCACACGGTGTCCAGATGGAGGAGGATGCAGAGCCTGGCCTGGAAGCAGCCAGCACATCCTCCACCCAAACACCCCTGGGGGCCACCTCGCTGCACCTGCGCTGGCCAACGAAGCACATCGTGCCCAGGAATCTCCTTGTGAAAAGGGTGAGCCCTGCTCCCCAACACCTACTCCGCTGCATCCCGCTGAGCCCTTGGGATTTGCTTTACAGTCCTCCTCTGCTTCGCATGGCTTTATTCCGCCAGCCACTGCCTGCATGTCTGCCGGTCACCACCACGCTGGCTGAGCATGCTTTCAAAACAGGCCAGACTCTGTTTTAGGAAACAAAACAATTTTTATTTAAAAAAAATAAGTTACAAATTGAGAGACCTCTCTGTTCATTTTGGGCACAGATTTGCAGTCTAAACAGTCTGGTTTTAAGCAAAACTTTACAATACTCTGGATGTCACATGCTGCCTTATGGAGCAGCTTTTGCTCCATATCTGTGTGGTACAAAGCACCGCACAGGTATAAAACTATCGTAAATAGAACATCTGAGCCGACACTGGCATATACTTATATATATATTTTATATATATATATATATACATATATATATATCATTTCAAATCAGCTAACAATGCTGCCATCCTTAGCCAAGACTGAAGTCAAACTAACCTAAAACTACAATGATCTGGGCGTGTCAGCATTATACCTTCCATACAATATTTAAAATATATTTTAACTTTCAAATACACTTATAAGGTACAGCAATAGTGAGAAAATAATGTCTTAAAACTTAAATAAAGTCACCAGAAGAGAAAAACATCGGGACCCAGGAGGTGCTGTTGCACACATGCCCAGGTTGGCCATCCTGAAGCCGCCCACCATGGCCAGAGCTTCTTTTGTCAAGCTGTCAGACCGCTCACCAGGGCGACCTCCTCTCTGGTCCGAGAAAGGACACACAATGTCACACCGCTCTTCTGCGCATCTCCCAAGCCTCAAAGCCCAGAGCTAATCTGCCCTTCTTCAGAAACCAAGTGGCCGACGACGCCCCAGCCCCGCAAGCGCACGTCCCCAGGCCCCGCAGATGGCTCACTTAGCACTTTGCTCCAGCGCGGAGTACTCGGTCTCTGACACTCTGGAGGCATCAATGAGCTTGGTGAGGCCGGTTTTGGCTGAGTACTTGAAAATGAAGGCCTTCATCAGCTCGTACCTGTAGTTGCGGTTGATGAAGCTGTACAGCACGGGGTTGACACAGCAGTGGACCAGCGACAGGCATTGTGTGACATGCAGGGCCGTGAAGAGGCCGTTCTCCAGCTGGCAGGTAAAGGGGATGTAGTGCAGGATGGAGAAGATGTCCAAGAGCACCACGGCGTGATAGGGCAGCCAGCACACGAGGAAGACCACCACATAGGAGAAGATGATCTTCCGACTGCTGTGCTTTTCCTGGTCACCAGATGCCGAGATGGCTCTGGCCAGCAGGAAGTAGAAGATGGCGATGATGGAGAAAGGGACAGCAAAGCCCAGGATGACGGAGACCAGCTCCATGCCGATGAGCCATTCCTTGATGCTGTGCTCTGGGTAGAAGGACCGGCAGTAGGTCTCGTTGTTGGATGCGGATGTGACGGTCTTCAGGTAGTATGTGTCAGGCAGGGACACGCAAAAGGCCAGCAGCCACACCAGGACACAGACAATGCGCCGCACTGTCTTCTTCTTGCAGCTGGAAGTGCCAGTGAAGTAGGTGATGGAGAGGTAGCGGTCCACACTCATACATGTGAGGAAGAAGATGCTGCCGAAGAGGTTGATGGAGAAGATGAGGTGCGAGATCTTGCAGGTGAGCTCGCCCATGGGCCACTGATTGTGCTGTACGAGGCTGACGACCCACACCGGGATGGTGATGACGACCCACAGGTCGGCGATGGCAAGGTTCAGGATGTAGCAGTGCGTGTCGTAGCCCGTGGTCTTGGCCTGGATGTTCACCCAGACCACCACGGAGTTGGCGACCATGCCAATGACAAAGATGAAGATGTAGAGGAGAGACAGCGTATAGAGGAGCACGCTCTTGTGGGGCATGACAGGGCACTGCAGGGTGTCCACCACGATGCAGTCACTGCTGTTACACGGCCAGCTGATGTCCGAGTAGTTCCCCGGCTCTGCGTAGTCGAAGAGATGTGGATCCATGGCGTAGAGCGGGTAGCTGGACAACCTACGGTGAAACCCACCAGGGAAGCTGGAAGAGAAAAGGCGCTTGGTTAGCAGCAGCTCGCGTTGCAGTCAAGATGCTCAGAGGAATCCCTGAGGCGCTCCGCTGCTGCACCGTGGCTCTGCAGCATCTCCCCGAAGAAAAGTGAAAACTAACACCCAGGCAGCACAATACAACCCACCCGCAGGCTGGCCCACATTGTGCTGGGGTGGGGGGTGCTTTCTTTCTGCCTTCGCAGCTGTGTTCTCCACACACCAACAGCCCAGCTGTGTCCAGGTGTGAAATCTACATGCTGTGGGGGACAGAGAAACACCAGCCGGCAGAGCCTGAGCCATGGCAGAGCCAAGAGGGCGCCCGGTCTCAGCAGGGCTGGGGTGGGGTCATCTCACCAGCCTCCCTGAGCGCAGCAGGGCTGATCTGCTCCTGGTATGTGTGTGCACAAGCGCCCTGCTTTGCCACCTTAATGAAAACATCTCAAACCCTCTCCAAATCTGCATCTAAGACCTGACTGAGCACTGTCCTCCTCTCCTGGGACTCACTCGCAAACTTCAGTCTCTTGCTGCTCTCTGCTTGTGGTCCACGAGCCCCTTAAGACAGGGCCAGCCCGTGTACAACACCCTCCACAGGCTCCGCCCCGGACCTGCAGGCTTGGGGTCTGCGTAGGGTTCTCAGCCGAAGCCAACCAGCCAGCTGTCTCCAGCTCCAGGGCTTCCTCCGCTGTTTTATTTGTTTAGGAGTAACAGGTGACAAGGCCCAAGTCCAGAAGCTACCACCTGCTGCACGTCAGGAGGGCTGACAGTCTGTCCACTGTTTTCCCTGTGGACCTGACGTCAGGCCACACACTTGACTGTCACCAATTCACGGCCAGAGAGAACTCAGTCACATGTGCCTCTGGACTGGGAAGCAATCTCTCCAGACAGACACATGGGGGGCTGCCAGCCCTGTTGCCCACTGTCTGTTTGTCCACTAGAGGGCCCTGAAATCTCTCAAGGCCACAGGCCCCTCCTAGCTGTCAGCCCCTCACCTAACCCCGCTGCAGGGGCAATGGAGACTCAGACAAACATCAGCTCTGGGGAGCCACAGTTGGGAGGCGGCCCACCACCTCAATGTCGCAGTGACAGCTGCCGGGGAGTCCGGCTTCTTTGCCAAGGTCCCTGAAAGCAGGCACCAACTTCTTTCCACAGGAGAACACCGTGGAGTCTGAGGGTGGACCCCAGATGGCCACGCCAGTGACGTGAGAAACCGCAGCAGGGCACGCAGAGTCCCAGCACAGACGTTCCTGCATTGGGCTCCAGCTCCACTCTCATCAGTGTTTAACTCAGGCTCGCCTGCCGGGTCATCGCCAGGTCCACTGCCCCTGAGGAGCGCCTGTGAAGCTTACCTCGGGGACAAAGGGCACTGAGCGCAGCAGGCGTCCAGCAGATGCCTGGAGAAATTTTACCCGCCAGCCCCTCCCCAGGCTGTGAAGAAAGCTGCCTGGGCGTCTTCTGGCCAGACATGATCAGCTTCGCCCCTTTAGGCAAAACGCAGAGCCCCTCTGGAGCACCCTCCACACTAGAGACCAGCTGAGTGCATGCATTCCCGCAGACGGGCTTGGCACTCACGGGGCGGGGCTGATGGATTTCTCCTGTGGGACAACATGAACTGACTGCCCACATGGGATGTCAGGCACAGGTCCCTCCTGCCACCTGTCCCTCCTGCTTCTGGTCCTTTCTGGGCTGACAAAGGCCCCAGCATTCCACAATGGCCACTTCCCTTCCCCTCTCTGAAAGTCCTTGTGTGAGAACACTGGCCATGCAGCCTGGAAGCTTGGCCATCCATGGTCACCCGGCCATCGAACCCCAAGCTTGGGGCCACCGATGTGTATAATGTCCCCAGTGGCCCTGGGGAGGACCAGAGAAGGGGGCAAGCTGGAGACACCAGCCCTAGCCTGACACACAGCTCTAAGGGCTCTGAAGGACACGGATCTGACAGGTACCCAGGATGCCTCCCTGACTGGCCCAGCTGTGCAACAGCTGCCACTGCCACCTCCCTTGACCACCAAGCAGCCTGGTGTACAAGGCCTTCCCCCTGTGATCCATGGGAACTCAAAGCCACTGAACTCAAAGCAGCGTGCTCACTCACATGGGAATCAAGCCACGGAGCCTGGCAGCAGAGGCCAATGACAGGGACAGAGACGGCCGTAGGTTCAGGGCCCAAAGCCAGAAACAGTCCAAAGCCTTCAACAGCTTGGGTGTGGGTTCAAATCTCCCCCCTGGTTTCTCCACACTTGGAACCTCTTCTGTCTCAGTCTTTCTCCAGACATACCACGTCCCCTCAGGCAGTAAGGACAGCCCCGTGAGGGGGCACAGGAAGAGTGGACGCCGCCTCTCACGGCGTGAGAACATCCTCCTAGGTCCCACGCTGTCCCCACAAGCCCCGCTCTGACTCTCAGCAGGCAGGCTGCCAGTCTCTGGCATCCCTGGAACCCAGGGGCACTGTGGGTACTGGCAAGGGCCTGGGGACCCGACTCGGCCCCTTGGCCTCTGGCACTGCCCATCAACAGGGAGATAGTTCAAAAAGTATGGTGGGCATGTCCACTCTCTGGAATATCACACAGCTAGAGAGAGATGGGGAACTGCCTCTGTGAACAAGGAGAGCAGGGCATGCTGCGAGTGAACGGCGCTGCGCGTGCACACAGCCAGTACAGCCCCACTGATGCAGGGCCAAAAGCAAAGTGCTGTGTCGCTTTATATGCAGACCCCTGTGCACAGAGACAGAAAAGGTCCACACCGAGAGCAAAAGTTCAGGCAGGGAGTGCCAAAGGACACAAAGGGACAGTTGTGGTTTTGACCGCCCGACGTCTGTGGTATTTGGAATTGGACATCAAGAGTTATGTCAACTGTAAGGGGCATGACCCGCAAGACTAAAGGTTCATGACGCATTTTTCTGACAGCAGAAGGCAGGAACAGCCAGCTGGTCTCCCTTTCTCCTTTGCTTCCACTCTATGGGGCCTCTTGTTTCATTATCATTGTTGCATTGCTGGGGTTGAGTCCAGGGCTCCACACTGAGTGGCACGCCCAGCTTGCTCATGAGTTGCTTATTCTGAGACAGGGTCTCCCTAAATTGCTGACTTGCCCACATTGGGTTCAACTTGCAACCCTCCTGTCTCAGCCTCCCAGAGAATCACAGACACGGACCACCACACCTGCCACAGACACAGACCACCA